GCCGTCCTCCTGGGGACGGCAGGCGATCAGCTACTCAGGGCAGGCGAGGACCCCACTATGGAACGGTGGGCAGGGCGCCCGGGTTCTCGCGTCTTGAGCTCTTCCCGATCGTTGGGCCAGTTTGTTGTGGCGCCGTGCTGCGCACCTCTGAGGGGCACCGCTGCGCCGAAGGCTCAGGGGCTGAAAATGCCCTTCTCCCCCCGCGCTCCCCTCGGGGCGCCTCGATCTCCCCTCCCCCCCTTCCAAAGAACCTGGCGCCATGCCATGACATGCTGTGCAGCGTTGTGTTCTGCGCCGCTGTGCGATGCCTTGCTTTGCGTTGCAATGCTGTGTGATGCAATGCTTCACTGCGCGATGCTACGCCATACTATGGCATGCTACGCTCTGCCGAGCTCTTCTACGCCATGTCATGCCATGCTCTACTATGCATCGCGTACCCTCTCGCGATCATTGCCCTGCTCGACACTCGACGGTGCGAGTGGAGAGGATATATACGCCATGGTAAGGGATGGGAGGGAGGGGTATGACGTCAGATACTACGCGAGCGCAAGTAGCTTGCCCCCTTCCCCCTCCCTCATCCCTCCTCCTTCTCCTCCCTCGCGTGGTTCCTCTGCCCCGCTGTAGTCACGTCCTCCCTCTCTCCACGCGCTTAAGCAGCTCGCGTGCCGCTCCGCCGTGCGACCTCCTTCTCGCTCCCCGGGCCACTCGGACGGGGGCTCTGCTCGTCGCCTGCGGCTGGCAGCCTTCCGCCCGCGACGCCTCCCGAACCAGTGCCAAACCTGTCCCTGTGCCTGCAATGGTCGGGCCCCTGGGGGGCCCGCTGGCCACAGAGGGCGTGCTCTTGTCGCGCGCGGTGCCCCCACCCCCCCCCCGTTCGGCCGATGCCACTCGCGCGCGCGCCCACGCACGCAAGGCTGAATTGCGCCCCTGCGCCCGATAGACAGATGGACCTGCCCAGAATGGGAGCGCCAGGGGCAAAAGCGATCCTGGGCACGTCGCACACGGAATCGCCACATCGGGCTCTCGCGCCCCCACCCCTCACCCGACGAGCTCATCGGCCGGTCTCCGTCAGGACGCCCAGCGCCCACAGAGCTCCACCGGGCCGAAATCCTCATGGATAGCACTCTTAATGCTAAGTTTCTTTTCGAGCGACCTTTCCGACAACAGATATCCCTAGGCTTGCGCGGCAGTCTTCGGGATACCTAATGTTCGAGAGGCCACTCGAAAAAACAAATCCCCAAGAACGCTGATCCCTGAGATCGACGACTGGCGCGCTGGGAGGAGAGGGGGGGAGCCCTGTGGGGAGACGACGGTGTTCGAATCCCCCTTCGCGGCACCGCCGCCCCTGAGTCCCGCGACATGCCCCAGGGCGCGACGTTCCTTCGCGCATCGGAGAGCACGTTCATCAGGCCGCTGATACGCGCGCAATGCGCGCGCATATGGTTCATGGGTCACCGCGCAGTGCCTCGACATCGTGCGCAAAGTCCGGCGCGCACAAGCGAACCACCTGTGCCACGAGCCACGGTCCGAAGCGCACGCGCCCTTGGCAGGGCGAAAGAAGAGCTGGAGCATCGGGATCCGCCTCTCCCCGGTGGACTCCTCTGCATGGCCCAGGACCAGGGCGCGGGTCGCCCGACCTGCGGGCAACCTGACGCCCTGGCTCCCCAGCGAGGGCGGCCGCCCGCGACCGCACTCGGGAGGGACGCAGTCGGTGGAGGCCTCCCAGAGGAGGGTGCGCGCAGGTAGGATCGGAGGATCCCGCCCCATCGCCGATGCATCGTCGACGTTGGCGATGCATCGGCCACGTCGGCGTGGAGAAAATCGGGCCCCACGTCGTGCCGCATCGCCGACGCATGGGCAACGCAGGGCGGCCCTCCGACCCCATCTGCTCGAACCCCATCTGGCAGGCCTAGAGTCGAGGCGGCCTGAATTGCCACACTGGCGGCCCGACGAAACGACGCCTCCTCCACCACCACCTCCTCCTCCTCCTCCTCCTCCACCACCACCACCTCCTCCTCCTCCTCTTCCTCCTCCTCCTCCTCCTTCTCCTCGTCCTCCAACTCCGACCCCGACGCCTCCGACTCCTCCCCCTGATACTATATGATTTCTGACATTCGGTACATAAAAGATTCGAGGAGATCTCAAGCTGAAGCCTTCCTTACAAAATGTTTCCTAAGACAAGTGTGCGCGGCGCCGGAGAGAGAACCTCAGTTTGAAAACGACCCTTGCTCCATCCGTGCGACAATTTGGAAACTTCAGGAAGGGTAAGCTGGAAGGAAGTCTCAAGCGAAACGCCCAGCCCGACCCGACGACACGTCTTACAGTGCGACAGAGAGAAGCTGCCTATATGAAGGAGAGGCGACGGAGGAGGAGGAGGAGGAGAAGGAGGAGGAGGAGGTGAAGCGTGGCCCGAGGCGCTCGTCCCTTCCTTCCTACCCACGGCCCCGACCAAGCGACGACCCCTCTCCTCCAGCGGGGCGTCGCACGACAGCCTCGGTTCCAGTTCCAGGGTCGACGCTCATCGGCATCGGGGCCAGCACGGGCGCGGGGGGAATGAAATCCGACACGGGCGCGGCAACAACAACGGGGGAAATGCGGTGAGCAGAACGATCAGACAAGGAAGAAGCAACAGGGGCGCAGGCGACGTGCGACATGTCAAGAGGCATGTCGTAGTCGATCAACTGGAAAACAATGAAGGGAACATCACCATTCGACTGTAAAATATGACAGGGCGGCGGCATGACATTTTCACCGCATGGATTCAGACGCTCGTCCACCGTGCCAGGAGTCGACAGCCAGGAAATCGCTCGAGAGGCTCCCGACATCTGGCTTGACAGAGGAGGAGCCACCGACGACGCAGTAGGAGCGCAAGGTGCAACCAGCATCTTGTCCAACGAAGACCTCGTCGAAGTATAGCTGGACGAATCTGACTGGCTGGACTCCGAGGACGTGGAGGTGACTTCGATCGAATCGTCAACATCGTCGCGGGCGCTGATCATCGCCTGATGGAGCACAATCCGCTGGAGCAGGCACGTATGCCGGCCACGTAGCGGCAGTCTCATGGTCAACCGACAAGCCTCCACGTATGCAAAACCTGAGGATAAGTCGGTGGACGATCGAAATCGTGCGAGATCAGCCTGTTATGATGGTAAAGAGCAACCAGAAAGGCAAACGATCCTGTGAGGCCCAGCCGCCCTCGAACCGAGTAGGGAATGTCTGCTCGAAAAGCCAGCGCAGCAAAGTGGTGGAGTCTGCTGAAGTGCCTGATGTAGTGGCCGATACGATAATCAGCGCCAGGGCAACCGTATATGCAACCCGCATGTCTTTGCATCCGCGTGTTAGTGATCCACGCGCCAAGCCAAGATTTGAGTACAATAACGCACCATCCAGTAGCAAGTTGCGGCAGCTGTGCACGGTAGACGTCGACGGGGACATCATGGACACCAAAGTGGAGTGCCAGTCGCGCTTGGACAAGGGCTGTCAAATCAGGGGGGAATACCACACGCTGCAGCACACAAGAGAAGGTGGCCTGCCATTTGATTCTCTTGGGGCGTCGCTCACGTTCACTGTCACCTGGTCGGTTCTGCAGTAGTCGAAGGGGAGCAGGTAGGGCATCATGTCCAAAGGGCAGAGCCACGCTAGCTGGCAGGGAGTTACCAGCCCCACACCAAACTTCCAGTGCGCGCTGACCACCCAGACGAAGGTGATGATCGTGTGGGAAGCCAGACGCAGCCTCCCCCAGAAAGGCCACAAAGGGCGGCGCGCACCAGGAGGAGGAGGAGGAAGTAGAGGAGGAGGAAGAAGAGGAGAACCATGCACACTCCAGATGCCTTAGCTGCCCCTGGGGCCAAGGTGGGCACCTCTTGACCCCCCCCCGGCCGTCTTTCAAGCCATAACTCGGGCCTCCGGCGGCCGTTCGGGACGATTCCGCTACCCCCCCGAACGCCCTAAAACGTCCCCCCCTGAGCCTACTCCCCCCTAACTTGAGCAGGGGCTGACCGCTCTGGCATGGCATATTTGTGGCATCCCACGACACAGTCTTCGAGCCCGAGATCGCTTTAAAATAAAACCAAGGTTCTTAAAGGATCATGAAGCCGACGTCTTAAAGCAGGACTCTCCCAGCCAGAAATGCTATGAGAACATCGTCCACGAACCACAAAACGTTGTTTAAACGTTCTTGGTGGTCCTCTAAACAGACCAGGACGCTTCGACACGGATTGACTAACGTCCCCGCCAGGCGTTGACCCGTGGCTTTCGTGTCACCACTCGGCTCCCAGGCGGCCGCTGGGGACGATCCAAGCACCCCCTGAACGCTCCCGTCGAGGCGCAGCTGCCCGAACGCCTCCCGACACTGGAAAACCCTTTTTCCAAACCGACGGACACGTCTGACAACCTCCCTGAAACTACCCCCCCCTAAAACTTGGCATGGAGTAGAAACGAATCCCGAGGGAAACAGGTCCTGGGCTCGCGCTGGACCCCGTGCCTGGCAGCGCGGAGCGCGCCAGGGGCGGCGTCGAAGGCGACGCCAGGGGGGGCCCCAAAGCGGATCCAAGAAATCCGCGCGGAACGCCAAAAGTTTATGTTCACGCGGTTTCTTCTGCTTGTTAGGGGGGCGCCCGGACTCGAGCGTGAAGTCGGGCGTGTCCCCCTACAGGAGAAATACTCAAGGATAGAAAAAATCGTCCAGGGGCGATTTTCCGAATAGTTCGAATCATGTTTGAATATGTTTTGACTATGTTTTGCTTCCCGCCCAAAGGACATGCCCGACCTAAGCCGAGAGGCCCACCGAAGAGTGTTTTGAGAGCCTCTTATGGATTCCAAGGGATGTTCTTGGAACCTTCCTGGCCGGAGCCGTGTGGCTCCCATACATCGGTTCCATGTTCTAGGAAGTTCGTTATTGTTATGAAAGCACTCTCTGGTTCGAAGAACATCTCGTGGTTGGCCAAAAGTCTATGTTTGTGTGGTTGTTTCCTCCTCGGCCCCTGGCCCCCCCCCATCGCCGGGGCGGGCGGCAGCACGCCCGGCGCCGGCAGCGCCAGCGCGGCGGGCGCCGAGGCTGCGGGCGCCGAGGCCAGACCGAGCCAGGCGGCCGCCCGGCTGGCCGTCGCGGCCTCCTGCGGGGAGCGGGCGGGGAGGCGGGGAGGCGGGGGGCGGCATGCGAGGACCCCCTCGCGCCGTGAAAAAAATACTCCGACGAAAGACCCCGCGTGAAAATCCTTTCGGCTAGTCTGGAAATGACCTTCACTGTCGTCCTCGCGATTAGTGAGGCGCCCTTATTGTCTTCTCTGCCTCATTATCATTCTCGCCCTGGCGCAAGCCCTCACCCGCGCCCCGCGTTGCCATTGCCTCGCCCTCCTGCTGTTTGTTTCGTCACCCACCACCTCCTGTCCTGTCTATTGCAAGAGCGCGCGCGTCGATTTTCCTCGACGCCGTCCCCGCCTCGGCCAGCGCGGGCGCATTCTCGAATGGCCGCGTCGCGCGGCCGTTCGCGCGGCCGTTGGGACAACCCCGCGGGCCAGTCCGTTGGGGCAGCCGCGCGAGCCGCTGGGCGCGGGAGCAGGGCGTTGGGACAACCCCGCAGGCACCGAGCTAGTCACGGCCGCGTTCAGGCGGGAGGCAGCACGAACCCAAGCTCTCCGGCGAGTTGCCCGGCCTGATCCCTGGAGCTCTTCGCTTTCTCATCGAACTTCTCGAGCGCCTTCCGCAAGGACGCTGGCGGCCCGCGCTCCAGAAAGTTGGGCGGTCGCAAGATCAGCATGTTCCGCATGCGCGTGGCGCGGGAGAGCATGACGTAGCTCAGATTAGAAGCATGACGCGCGGGCCCCATAGGGAGAGAACTCCCGCCTGAGACTTCCTCGCAATTCACTCACAGACGAGCCTCCCGCCCGATACTTCCCTCATATTCATGCCTCAGGAGCCCAAAAACGACGACAGTCACAGGTTCAAGGATGACCCGCTCGGATAAAAAAAACATGAGGTGCGGGCCCCATAGGGAAAGGGCTCCCGCCTGAGACTTCCTCGCAATTCACTCACAGACGAGCCTCCCACCTGATACTTCCCCCATATTCAAGCCTCAAGAGCCCAAACATGACGACAATTACAGGTTCGAGGATGACCCGCTCGGATTAGAAACATGAAGCGCGAATGAGTGGGTGAGTGAGTGAGTGAATGACTGAATGAGTGATGATGATGAGGATGATGCAGATGATGAGTGAGTGGGTGAGTGAGTGTGTGATGGCGTGATGGTCAAGATGATCAAGATGGTCTACGTGTGAGTGAATGTGAGTGTGAGCGAGTGTGTGTTCCTGTGCTCCTGTGCGTTGCTGCGCGGGGTTGTCTAAAGAAAACAAGAACCCCACTTCGGATGTGCGGAATGATGCTGAGTGATGAGAGAGAGTGTGTGTGTGTGTGATGTGCGCCTGAGTATTGTAATGACGGCGGTGGTGGTGATGCTGATGATGATGAGTATGATGATGAGGGTGATGATGATGATGCTGATGCTGATGCTGATGATGATGATGATGATGATGATGATGATGATGATGATGATGATGATGATCGATGGCCGATGGTGATGGTGATAGTGATCGATGGTGAGTGACTGAGTCTGATGATGATGGTGGTGGTGATGATGACCGATAGTGATGATGACCGATGACGGGGTGTCCAGAAAAAACCAGAACCCCACTTTGGATGTGGGGGAAAATAGCGACGGAAGGTTGTTCGTTATTTTCGGCCTCCTGGAGCTCTTCCCAGGCCTCAGGGACGTCAAAAAACGACTCTCATGACGAAAAACAGGTCCCGGGGAAGGGGTCCAGACCTCTGGGGGCCGACGTTGTGAACAAAATCACGGCGTCGGGGGTCTGGGGGGGCGGGCGGGGAGGCGGGGAGCGGGGGGCGGCATACGAAGACCCCCCTCACGGATGCAACTCGCCACTTGCCACCCAGCTCATTCCATGCGCAGCCTGCTTCCCCCTCGGGCCGTGGGAAAGAATCACAGCGGGAGGTTCTTCGCTGCGTTTGGCCTCCAGGGGCCCTTGCCGGGCCTCGGGGCCGTCAGGAAACGACTCGGGGTGAGAAACCGGTCCCGGGGAAGGGGTCGAGATCCGTGGTGTGAGTAGGAGGGGGAGTGGGAGGTTCATCCTGTCCTCCTCCTCCTCCGCCTCCGCCTCCTCCTCCTCCTCCTCCTCCTCCTCCTCCTCCTCCTCCGCCTCCTCCTCCTCCTCCCTGCGCTTCGCTTCGCTTCGCCTCGCCCCCCCCCCCCCCTCCTTCCCCCCCTACCCTCACCCCCCAGACACCCGCGGGGAGGAGCCCGAGACCTGCTCGCGCCATGGCAGCAGGCACGACGGGCTGCCTGCTCTTGGCCCTCGGCAGGCACATGGGTGAGAGACCGGCCCCGGGGAAGGGGTCCCAGACATGATTGGGCAGGGGCCGACCGTCCCAGCATTCCTAGTCCTACCACGAAATGTTCTTACTAGAGCCCCCAACATGTTCTCGGAACGAAAGCAAGGTTCTTAGAACATTAGCCCGATGTGTTAAAACAAGACAGCCTCGACCAGAACTGTTCTAAGCACATTTCGAGCAGACCACAGAAAGGTTCTTAGAACATTGTTTGGAAGCCTATAGACACGCCAGGACGCTTCGCCACTGCTTGACATGAGGTGTCCCAATGTTTCCAGCACGGGGTCCCCAGCTCGACCCTGGGACTGCTTCTCATCCCGAGTCGTTCTGCTGACGGTCCCGGGGCCCGCCGAGGGCCCCCGAGGGGCCGAAAACGGAACACCCTCCGTCGTGTTCGTTCGCGACGCGAGCACCTCCCTCCCGGGAGCCTCTCTGGGCCGTCTTGGAGCCCAGGTCGGGGCGCCCCAGGGCCGTCCTGAGGACCATCGTGGGCGTCTTGTGGGAAACCAAAATTTACCGATACCGCTTCTCCCCTGACCTCTCTTGGGGTGCGCTCTGACCAGGATTTCGAGGAGAATCCAGCGGTGGCGACGAGGGCCTCCGAGGAGGCCCAACAGGGGGAAAACGAGGATAGGGTAGAGGCCTGGGCACTCTTCCCTCTTCTGATCTCGGGCCGTCTTGGGGCCCCTCGGGGGGTCGGGGCCTCCGGGGCCCGCGCGTGGACCACGAGGCTGCACGCCGCAGAGGCGTCCGCTGCCGCTCGCGGGCGCCGCCGCTCGGCCGCCCTCCCCGCGATCGCGAGGGCCACGGCCAGTCGAGGCCGAGAGCCCGAGGCGCGCGGCCGCGCGGGGGAGGCGCCCCGAGAACGGGGCCCAGAGATCCGAGGCACTGGAAACATCAGGACTGAGGTTTTTCGCAGCTTTCGGCCTCCAGGGGCCCTCGCCGGGCCCTAGGACCCTCAAAAAACAGCTCGGGATGAAAAGCCGGTCCTCGGGGATGGTCGAGACTTCTGGGGAGCCAGCGTTGCAAAAAGAACGACGCTGGATCTCTGGGGATGCGGCCTCTCCCCGAGCACAGGCTGGATGAGCGACAATAAAAAAACAGGCCTTACGCGAGATGACGACCTTGCGCCGCGGCTTACGCGGGCCGCGGGCGCGGCACGCCACACTGGAGACGAGGGCGCTCATGCACGACCTTACGCGGGCAGCTGGCGCGCGAATGTCGGCGCAGACGACCCCGCTTCTTTGCCTCGCTCGGACGGAGACAGGGGGAGGAGGAAGAGGATCGAGGATCGAGGCGGATCTGAGAACCCACCCCCACCCCCAGTCCCGACCCCATCCCGGAACCCGCAACCCAGGGGGTCGGGACTGGGGGTGGGGGTGGCTTTCCGGGGCCCAAGAATGGAGAAAACCCACCCCCACCCCAGTCCCTACCCCCTGAATCGTCGCAGTCGTGGCCGGCGCCGTGCGCCGGCGGGAGCTTCCCGCGAGCCCCACGGCCTCCTGCTGCGCTCTCGCCCCGCGGGGCCCTCGTGGCGAGGCGGCACTGCAGCGGGCGAGGGGGGGCTCGGGGGGGGGGGAGGGGAGGGGGGGGTCAGGGCGCCTTTGGCGAACATTTTCCCGTCGCGGCGCGACAGCGGCGGTCCGCTCGCGCGCCGCCCGTGGCCGGCGCGAGGCGTACGAAGTGTCCGGCTGCAGGAGAAAGAGAGAGGGCATGGGGCGGCCGCGGAGCGAGGAGGAAGGAAGAGAGGGCACTCAGCCATGTCGACATTCGATACACGTGCAATCCGTGCATCCGTATCACGTATATTGCATCCGTATCACGGATCCCCTAGGCCATTGTATCCGTATCCGTACACGTACATCCGCATCCATTGTCAGCCCTAGGCCCTTGCATCCGTATCACGTGTAACGAGGACACGCGACACGGATGCAGGGGCCCAGGGCCTCGGCCACGTCGACACCTTGCGAGCGGGGCGCGACCGGCGAGAGCGGCCAAGGACGGGCCGAGGGGGGGAGGCTGCAAGGGTAATCTTGGAGAGTTGTGCATCCTTGCTGCGCGGGTTGAGTGTACTCCAGATTTCGTAATAAAGGGAGGGGGGTCTCATTTCGGGGGGGGTCTCTTCCAGGCTATCTTGGAGGGCCTGGGGGGGTCTGGGGACGATGTTTTGGAGGGTTCTCCCACGGGGGGGGGGTCTAAAACTTCTCGTCTGGGAGGGTTGAGACCCCTCCCTTTTATTACGAAATCTGGAGTATGTATTATGATGCTCTCGAAGGGTCACGATAGTGCTCGGATGTCGGCCGTGCTGTTTTCCTCGATGGCGCGGAAGGTGTACAGGCATGGTCCAGATGGTCCCGAAGATTACACATGTTTCACCGCGTCACCACACGTAGCTTTGTACACGTTGCCATCGGAGGTTGGGGGGTGAGATCGCAGTGGGACGGAGACCCCCAACCGGGAAATCGTTTCGTTTCGTTAGTGTCGTGCGTGCGGGCGAGGCGAAGCTGCGTGGGCGCGCGAGAGGAATGAACCCGCCGTTGCTAAGGCGAAGTCAAGACAAATGATTCTCCCCCGCCCGCCCGTCCGTCCGTCCAGCGGTGGCTCGCGGTGTCCCGCGATGTCCCGTGGTGTCCTGTGGTGGCCGCCGTTGCTAGGGCGAAGTCAAGACAAATGATTATCCCCCGCCCGCCCGTCCGTCCGTCCGTCTGGCGGTGGCTCGCGGTGTCCCGCGGTGTTCCGTGGTGTCCCGGGTGGTCCCGTGGTGTCCCGCTGAGTGAGATCGATAGTGAGATCGATAGTGAGATCGATACTGAAATCGATGTGGTGGCCCGAGGTGTCCCGTGGTGTCCCAATAAGTGAAATCGATAATGAGATCGATAATGAGATCGCCAGGTGTCCCGTGGTGTCCCGTGGTGTCCCGTTGAGTGAGATCGATAGTGAGATCGATAATGAGATCGATTGTGAGATCGATACCGAGATCGATCCGGTGCCCCGAGGTGTCCCGTGGTGTCCTATGAAATCCCGTTGAGTAAGATCGATAGTGAGACCGACAGTGAGATCGAGAGGTGTCCCGTGGTGTCCCGTGGTGGCCCGTGATGTCCCGTGGTGTCCCGTTGAGTGAGATCGATAGTGAGATCGATAATGAGATCGACAAGTGCCCCGAGGTGTCCCGTGGTGTCCTGTTGAGTGAGATCGATAGTGAGATCGATTGAGTCAGATGTTGGTTCCCCCCCTTTCCCCCTCCCACAACCTCCTTATCAACCGAAGGGTGGTCGTATAGGTATTGAATACGGTAAGGCGTACCCGAGCTCCAGTGGGCCCCCAGGGCCATCGGGAAATGTAACACTTCCGCGGGGCATCGGCTGGCAGGCCGATTCCCTGTTTGACGCGCCGGGTATGGTCCACCCGGGCGAGGGCGTGGGAGGGAGGGAGGGGGGAACAAAGACTTGCTTGGGCCAGCGGCGATTTGCGTCCACAAAACGGTCAAGCAAATGGCGGGCCGCATCCGTTGCGAATTGAAGCACATGGGCACAGGCGTGCGAGCGGCGAAGAAAAGGGAGAGAAACACGCGCGTTCGAGTGTCGAACAGCTCGACTACACGCGAGAGTGACCCTGGGTAAGAGTGACCTCTGGTGCGCGGCTTGTTCGGGGGCCGCGAGGGGGCCAAACAAAAGCGCACAAGAGGCTACTGCCGCACCGCGTTCGGCGATCGGGGGACCCCAGTGGGCCCACACCAGAGGCCACTCTTACGTGAGGTCGAACAACGTCCCACAAAGTAGGACGGCAATCGGGAGATGCGGTCGCGTCGGATCGCGGTCGGGAGCGCATTCGGAGTCGACATCGTGGCCACAGCAGCAGCCGCAGGAGCACCGGCTCCCCGTCGGCCACGCCAGGGTGCCCTGCCCCTGGTGCCGCACGCGGCCCGCTCCAGAAGCCCCATGCTCCCAAAGGCACGCGCCTACTTCTTGAGCAGGGGTCGACCATCCTGGCATTCCCTGTAGGCCTACCACTTCCCTTAGAACGTACGCACGCTCTCGCAACAAAAGCAATGCTCTTAGAGCCTTGAGCCGCTGGGTTAAGAGTAGACGGTCCCAGTCAGAGAGTTGTAAGACCATCTCGTGCAGGCCACAAAAGGTCATCAGAACATTCACTGGTGGACTATATAGGCAAGCCATGACGCTTCGCCACTGCTTGACTCCTGGGGGGCGCATCATCACCATCCACCGGTTTATGCCAGCCTTGCGCCCGCTTCCACGGGCGAAGCATCTCGGGGATCTGACCCGGGTCAATCTAGACCTGGCTCAGTCGGGATTCAGTCGGGATCTGACAGAATCCGGCAGGATCCTGCACGCAGGCCTGGGTCTGTGCAGCCCTGGCTCTGCAGGATCCTGCAAGACCCGGCGCTGGCTCTGCAGGATCCTGCCTGGCCCCCGTCTGCGTTGGGCCCCCCCTCTCTTGAGCCCCGAGCCTCCCTCGCCTTACCTTATGCTGGCCTTCTGCCGCCCTGCGCCTCGAGCCCCTCCGAGCGCGAGGAGGCCCTGTCCCGAAGCGCAGCCGCATGGCGACCGGCACACAGGAGGAGGAGCAGGAGCAGAGCCGGCGGCACGGCAGCGGCCAGAGGCCTCCCTTCCGCGGGGGCGGCGGGTCCTCCCGCTCCTCCTCGTGCCGCAGCAGTGCCAGCTTCATCTGGCGGGCGAGAGGCGCGTGCGCCCCGGGGGGGAGAGGGGAGAGGAGGGCGGCGGCCCGTGGACGGGGGGCGGGTGGGCGAGGGGGAGGGGGAGAGGAGGGTGTTTGGCCGGGGGAGGGGGCGGGGAGGAGCAGGGAGAAGAACGGAAGGGAGGGGAGCGAATTACCATGAGAAGTAAGGGACCCCCACCGACGATCGTTGTGCATATAGATGTTACATACATGCACACACACACACCTACACATGTGCATGCATGCATGCATGCACACATATTAAACAATGCATGCACGCATACATACATACACATCTACATACGTACACACACGTACACACATACATACACACAAACATACACGCATACAGACATGCATACATACTTACAGACAGACAGACAGGTATATACATACATGCACACATACCTACACACATACATACAACATGCATACCCGCACGCATGCATACATGTACACATGTATACATACATGCACAATACATAAGTACATGCATAAGTACATAGATGCACGCATGCATACAGACACACACCGATACGCCCATGCAGACATACATACACGAATGCATACATACATGCATGCATACTTACACGCATAAATACGTTCATATCTACATGCAGTCACACCTGCATCCACAACTACATGCATACATACACACCTACATACCGACCTATCTACCTACTTGTCGATCTATCTGTACACATACGTGCATCCAACCATACACCCATACACACATACATACACACATGCATACACTCGCCGACCGACCTACCTACCTACCTGCATACATGCATGCATACATAAGTACAAACATATATACATACATGCACACATACATAGATACATACACACATGCAAACACACACACATGCAAACCGACATATACACATATGCATACATGCAGACGTGCCGACATAAACAATCACACCTACATGCACGCGTGCATACATACATGCATGCAGACATAAACGTATACATACATTCAATCATGCATGCAGACAGCCTTGCATGCATATAGATATACATGCCTGCATACACACCTAGATACATAAATATGTGCACACGTGTATGCATGTACGCATGCATATATATAAACTCCTAAATTCAATCATACATGCATACACACATACATACACATAGACAGACATACATATCCATATGTGTGTACTCAGACATTCATGTACACACATATGTATATATACATACATAAGTATGCATCATTACCTGAATTGTCTCACACCAGGAAGCTGACACAGCTGGCCTCCCCAACAGAACCTGGTGAGCCACAGAGGCCCCAGGGGTCCCTGAGGCTCTCTCTGGTTCCCCACTCGGGTCGCCACTTGGGCTTCCCAGACCTCGCGAAGCCCCCGCTTGGGCCGCCACTTGGGCCTCCCGGACCTTGCGGAGCGGCCCAAGATCGCTCACGGTAACCTCGACACAGCCCCAAATGCCACCAAGACAGCCCGCAGAGTGCTTCAGAGGCCCCCGAACACGCCCCCGAAAGACCGACATGTCTCAAAACGCATGGGAAATCGATCACTTTCGCCCTCGCGTGGTCCTGCCTCCGATGAACCTCCAAGGCTTCAAAATGGCCTCCAGGAGGCCCTCCCACAGGGTCCCGAGGGGCCCTCGAGGACTCCCCAAGACCCAAGTTGCCCCCAAAAGCCGCAAGAAGCCCCAGCCGCAAGACGATCCCAAGAGCCCCCCAACGGTCCCCATACCCCCCCAAAGATCGCCAAAGGCTCCGCAGAGGGCCCCAAAAAGCCCGCAAGAGGGCCCAAAGGACTGGAACACCCCTCCCCACAACCCCTCGGCATCCCAACCCGAAGCACTCCGCAGCTCCATTCGGCTCCCGAGCCCTCAGTGCCCCCCCAGAGGCCACCCAAGAGGCCCCCAAAAGGCCCCCAACTTGCGCCAGGGCCCCGACGAAGCCCCTAAAGGCTCCCAGAGACTCCTAGCAACGTTGCCTCGCCTTCCCTTCTTAGACACCCCCGCCGTCTTCCCGACCCCCTACACCCGCGCAATTCGACACACATCTCAATCTATCTCCACGACCTTCTCGACGGCGTCTTCCCCCCTATTGCCACCCACCCATGAAAAAGGCCCCCCTCATCTCAACACTTCCGTCAACTCCCCAACCCCCTGCACCCTGCGCCTCCGTCAGGCTTGCAAGCCCTCTCTCCCACGACTCCGCCCAAAACGCTCTCACGAGGCCCCCCCCCATCACCTTCCCAACCCCTGCACATAGCACTTTCGACCGGCCCCCGAGCCCTCTATGTCCCTCCATGGATTGCCTTAGAGGCACCCACGAGGCCCCCAACGCTTGCCAAAGGGCCCCGACGAAGCCCCCAAAGGCTCCCAGAGACTTCTAGCAAGCCTCAAAGAGGCCGTCACGAAGCCCCCAAGACGTTGCATCGACTCCCCTTCTTAGAGACCCTCGCCACCTCCCGACCCCCTACCTTTCGACCCACGTCTCAATGTATCTCAACGACATTCTCGATGGCGTCTTCCCATCTATTGCCATCCACCCCTGAAAGGCCTTCCGCATCACAAACCTTCTGTCACCTTCCCAAACCCCTGCACCCAACACCTCGGACAAGCTTTCAAGCCCTCTGTCTCACCCCGAAACCACCCACGACGCCCCCTCAAGGCCCCCCCCCTTCACCTCCCCAACCCATGCGCCTCACACCTCCGACAGACTTCCAGGCCTTCTCATCCCCACAGACGCCACCACGGCCGTCCCGAGCGGGCCCCGCAAGCGCCCCGCAGCGGCGACCCCGAACCACCGCGGTGAGCAAGAAGCCGGCCAAGAAGTCGAAGCAGTGAGAAGTACCCACAGCGCAACCCGCCCACCGAGTCACGCAACACTTTTTACAGAGAGCACGGGGACCCCCCACCGTCGCTCGGACACGGCATAAAGCGGCTTCGGGACCATCACTGCCGATGCGCGGTGCCATCGCTCGTGACCTTCCAAAAAAAAACGCCGTCCCCCCCCCACACAGACGCATTCCAACCCCCGGCGCCCGATCGGGCGAGCCATTCTCCGCAGAGTTTGTGGGGTTAGCACGGCCGCCGTCAGTTGCGCATCATCCTCCGTCCATCGCCCGTGACCTTCCCAACCCACCCTTCTGCCGTTGAGTCGATCGTAATCGTGAGAGTCCGAGGCAATCCCAGATGGTCTGGTACCGGAAATTTTCGGTAGCGATTTCGACGCACCCCGAATTTCGGTAGCGACCGGATCTTCGTTTTAGGGCGTTGAAATAGCGGATTTCAGAACGCTCTGATACCGGTATTGGGCGCTACATTTCGGTATTTCGGTAGCGACCGATCTCTGCGGAGCGCTACCGGAAATTTTCGGTAGCGGACCATCAGGGATGTGTGCCCCCCGCGCGTGCGCGAGCGCGCACTGCCACTGGCCCGTGGAGACATGAAAACCTCATCGTTGCCGCCCCTCTCATCGTAGCGCCCATCGGCGTCGCGTGCCCCTCCATTTCGGCGCGAACGCACTCCCAGGTGTGCCGCGTCCTTCCGCCCCCGACTTTCCAACCCCAGGACAGCTCATCGCCGACATCTGGAACCGATAGATTCTGAGCGCTTCGCACGCCGCGCACTCGCGCACCATGCCAAGACCCGAAAGCGAAGCGCAGCGGGCTCCAAGTCTGGTCTTTATATATCATTACACAACTGCTTTCGGCGGCCCACTACCAGCGGTATCGATCGCCCAGGAAAAGAAGTGGAAATGGCCACTCGCGCCGCCCACCCGGGACCTCGCAAACAGGAAGCAGTCGCGGGGGGGAGAGGCGCGAGGTCGCCAGCTCCCACAAGCATTGCCCCCCCTGGCCTTGGCAGTGTATTCTAAGTGCCCGGGAAGCGACACCGCGGGCGCATTCCTCGACCCCGACACCCCCCAGGCTATAGATGTACGTGAACACACGCCCACACACAGCTATACACATGTAGACGTACCAGGACTTTGCAAGCCAATGCCTACGACTGTCGACCTGGCAATAGGACAATACAAAGTACAATGCCAGCACAACCGCCCACACTCGACCAAGAGCCCGACGATAACATGGGAGGAAGGAGCCCAGACAACGACAACATAATCGTCTCGCAGGTATAAGATGTGCACATCCAGAAAAGAAGCAGGAATTCGGATGTGAAGAAAAGCAGCTGCAAGCAATAGGAAAACATGCAGTGAACAAGAAGCCCAGGCCCGTCCAGGACCCCGAAGACGAGACCGCGCGGAGGGACGCGCGACGCGAGCATTGAAAGCTGCATGATCCCCCGTATTCCTCCTGCTCACCTCCTCCTCCTCCCCCTCCTCCTCCTGCACTTCCTCCTCCTCGTGGTTGTCCTCCCCCCCAACCCCCTTCTCCATCCCTTCCCCAACTCTGCCACACCCCCAGACGTGTCGCAGGGCGGGCGGGGAGTTCCGCCTGAAACCTCCTCACCACGTCTGATCCTGAGGCTAGGAATTGGCAAGAGCTTCACGGACGAAGGACAAGTGACTCTCAAGGAGTGCAGAAATGTGGCTCTCGCCTGAAGGCCGCGCGCATTCGCCTTAAAGCTTACGGCAGCTTCAAGGATGGAGGGCAAGTGGCTCTCAAAATGTGGCTATCGCCTTAGCGCGCGCACATTCGTTTTCAAAGTTTGCGACAGTTTCAAAAAATATGGCTCTCGCCCTAGCTCTGCTCACATTCGTCTTAAAGTTTGCGGCAATTTCAAGGATGGACGCCTGTCTCTTTTCCAACATGTTGTTATGGCCTTAGCGCCGCGCCCATTCGTGTAAAAATTGGAGACCGATTCAAATATTGAGGGCGGGTCCTTTCCTAAATGTGGATCTCGGCTGAGCGCCGCGCACTTTCGGCGCAATCGTTTGCGATCATTTGAAAGATTCGTACGGCTGGAGTCCCAGTAATGATGTTCTGGTGCGATTTGGGGTTGTCAGGACGCAACGGTCACATTGATTCGCGGTGCTGAAATCTCAGGAATGATGTTCTGGCACGGTTGAAGATTGTCAGGACGCAACAGTCACGTTGATTCGCGACGTTGGTACCCCAAGAATCGTGTTCTGGCACACTGAGGGAATATCGAACAATTGTCTTAAAGGTACCAGGAACTTCTGAAGGACCAGAAGGAGGGTGAGGGGCAGAGAAGCAGGAAAGATCAAATGTTCTTATGCCTTGGCAGTTCTCAAAGGTTTCCGGAATGTTCACGATGGAGCCTGATGCTTTCCAATGGATTATGTCGTTTTCGGACGGCTCTGGATGGATTCGACCCAGTGAGCTTGGGAGATTTGCCGGAGGTTCCAAAGGAGGAGGGAGAAGGGGAGGGAGACACGCTAGGTGACTCGCGTCATATCTGACGTCCTACCCCTCCCTCCTATCCCTGACCATTCCGTAGAGTCCCCCTCTCTTCGCACAGTCGGATGCCGAAGAGGACAACGATCCCCGTGGGGTACGCGATGCACAGTATGACGGAGCATCTCGTAGTCAAGCGTTGCATATCCTAGCATTGCAGCGCAAGGCACCCGTCGCATAGCGGCACATGACATAGCATTATGGCATGCATTGCACGGCCTGGCATTGCATAGCTCAGCGTTTCAAATTACAGCATTCCAGAGCACATCATGGAATCTCATGAGAGCAGTAGAGAACACATCATTGAATTTCATACCATGGCTGCATAAACGGTGCAGCCAGAAAACTATGCTGGAAGATCCACAACTTGGAGTTGGGGCCGATGCTCCAGCGGGAGCACCATTCGGAAGAACCGAAAACGCCGAAACGAGACCAGAGCCGCAGAGGCACCATTCGGAAAGACCGGGAATGTGGAAGTGAGACCAGCGCTGCAACGGGAGCACGATTTTGAAGAACCAGATGCGCGGAAATGAAGCGAGCGCTGCGCCCTCCTGAAGGACCGAATAAAATCACATGGAAAACAAATCAAGAGGAAATACAGACTTTTGACATCCTGTGGGAAACAATGCGCGAAGAGGGCGGGACATCTTCTAGACAGAGTCTGGGGAGACAGGAGAGTAGTATTCATCATGTGTACCTCATTGTCAAGGGAGAGGGAGGAAGAGGAAGGAAAATGATAAAGGAGAAACATAGACCACACGTCACAACTACGGGTGACCAAATCCGAGCTCGTGTCGATCCGCACCGCACCGGACGACACATAACATAACATTACACATCACGGCCTTGAAAACAGACAGAACCCAAGTCGCGCACACTCGTTCAGCACCACACGGCATGGCACCGAGAGGCTAAAGCCGACCTCGGCCTCGTGGCCGATCTCACCGCTCAATACAACATGGCAAGGAATCAGGCACCATTACATGGCACCGCACGGCACGGCACTGGGAAGCCCAACTCGACTTCGTGCACGCAGACACACCCACACACCACACGCCATGGCACGCAGGTCTGAGCCCATGACCACGGACAGGGCAACACACTTCTGCCATTGAACCCGAACCCGTGACGACCCACAGGGCGCCATGCAGCACCGCACTTGGAAACCGATTCCGACCTCGCGACCAACCGTACGTAAAGGAAACGGCGCATGGCATGGCGCGACATACTCCAGCGACGGATTGGGGCTTCGGGGACTGCGTCCTTCTCCACCGAGGGGTCGCAAATAGAAGCAACATCTTTGCATAAAACACAACTCAGGGAAAATAGGGGAAACGCTGCAATATCCGTCGAGGGGGGACCGCGCACAGCACCTCATTTGCCCATCCCTCCTTGACTTCGGGCAAGAAGGGGCTCCTGAAACGAGCTGACGGAGGCGAGCTCCGCGAACGACCGCGTCGCAAGCGCAGTTGCTGAGGTTGCCGAAGTAGGCCTGTTTGACTGCTGCTACTCAGTTTCACCCCGCCCCCTCTCCCACCCCACTCTGTGTATAATCGGGACATCCCCGCACTTCGAACAGACTATGTTAAGAGATTGCGCGGCGCCTAAAAATCTTGCCTGGTGGTTTCACATGCTCCCTCAATGTTGGCGGGGGAAGCCTCCGAACGGGCCAACGCATGAGTGGCCAACGCACGAGTGAAACCAAGGCACATCAGCGTTTCTACGCATCTGCATCAAACTAAGGCAAGTCTAGATGCGTAAACAGAACCTGATCGATATGTGACAGGCTTTCCGCGAGGCAAGCGAGACGGAGCAGCAGCAAGATCAATCTCATGATCAAAAGCAAAAAAAACAAGGAGAAGGCGAATGACAGGGATGGAAGACAAGAGTATGACGGCGGCGCGGAGCCGGGGAGGAACGAGGGCGGGGAGGAGGACGAGAAGTACAGTAGCAGGCGGAAAATCAGAAGAACGAGGCGGAGAAGGACAGTTCGCTGTAAACGCACAATGCTTAGGAAGGTGTAGGTATACAACGTGTTGCAATGTGTTACGGCTTCTCTAGCACTGCTGATTTAATCTTGCCTATCTAATAGTTATTAGGAAAAGATGCTGATTCAGTACAGCGGCAACCACGGAAATCAGAACATCATCAAAACAACCAACAACAACAAACGAACCGTCAAACAGAACCAAGAGCAAGCAACAATCCGCCAGAACACAACCAATCACACCTAGAGCACAACCAAATACAAACGGACAGGGTGGGTAAGCAATACGAAAGAAATACCAGAATGTAAGCAAGGCCAAATGGGCAATCTTAAATTAACAGACGCTACATGGCGTCGCAGGACGCGGCAAACCTGGCCGGGTACGGACAACCAACGGCAACGAGAAAACCACTAAAGACAACAACACAACAAAGAACGACCAAACACGACCAGAAACAACACAGACGAGCCTGGTCGGGTGGGTCAGCCGGTACTCAATAAGCAATACAAGACAAGCACTGCGGCCTAAAACAATACCACGTGGCGTCGCAAGGCGCGGCGACCCTGGCATCTACTGTACACCATGCGCGGTACGTTCGTTGAGTGACGCTTACACTGTACACTTACAGCCTCTGCGCGGTACAATTACGGTTTGCCCTGGCGGAGAAGGAAACGGAGAGAACGATAAAGGGGCAGGAGGAGGCTGACGAGCAGGAAAGGGGTGCGGATGAGTCGACGAGGGACTAGCAGGATGACGGGAGGGAAGAAGGGAGCGGAGAAGGCGCAGGAGGAGCAGGAGGAGGGAGAGAGGATGAGGATGCCGAGGAGAAGGAGAAGAAGGGAGAGAGGGAGGAGGGGGAGGAGGCGGAGATGGAGGAGGAGACGTAGAAAACCAACCCAGCGTCCTCCCTTCTCCCCCTTCCCCGGGAGGCCCTTCCCCCGAGTTACACCTCCATATCTCCCCCCACATGATCTGCAAATTAAATGGAGCTCCGACCAATACACTATCTGGACCAAATGCCCCACTGTCTCGGTGACTGTATATCCTGAGGGGTCGGATCGCGAGATCGTTGGCGCTGCTGCGCGTTGAGTACTCTGACTGTATGCACTGCGGGGGTCGGATCACAAGATCGTTGGCATTGCTGCGAATTGTCTCCTCTCCCTCACGGGATCCCGTGGAACCACGAGTCCCTTACCATCCCCCTAACCCAACACGCAATCACCAAGAACACGCTTGAATTCGCTGAACTTTCAGAACCCCCAAAAACACCCCGCTCCCCCTTCATTCCTCCCTGCTCCTCAAACGCACAAAGGGGGGCGGAGAACGACCGTGGCCGCCCCGTCAGCCCACAGCCAGAAGGCAAGGAAAGGGGATGGAGGGAGAACCTCCTGTCTTGCTCCTCCCCTTCCTCTCCCCCCACTGCCTCCTCCCACTGCACCAGCCCCCTCCCCCTCGCTCACCTCTCCCTCACGAGGCAAGCGGGAGACGCCCGCTGCCCGCAGTGAGGGTCGAGAGCGGCAGACCGGAGGCAGGAGGAGGGAGGAGGAGGAGGAGGGTGAGGAGGCGGAGCGTAGCATGAAAAAAGAATGAGTAGGAGTAGGAGTAGGAGTGGGAGGAGGAGGAGGAGGAGGAGGAGGAGGAGGAGGAGGAGGAGAAGGAGGGAGGAGGAGGAGGGGGAGAAGGAGGAGGAGGAGGAGGAGGACCAGTGCAAACCCAAGAGTCACCAACGATATTGGAATACACCCTCCCCCCAAGCTCCCTCTTCATAGGCCATTCCTGGGACCTCAACTTCGCGCATCATCGTAACTGGTGTGCCCTCGAAACCGTGAATCCTTCAAAAAAACCGTTTCTGGTACGTCGATCATGGGAACCAATAAACTCCTGCAATAGTTTATCAAGAATGTGCGGGGCGCGACGGCGATATCCACATCTTGAAAAGGAGGCGCACTCAATCCGCGAAACTCTTGCACATGCATAAAACGACTGTGCGCGGCGCCAAGGCGAGAGCCACATGTTGAAAAGGAACTACCCTCAATCCGTGAAGATCTTGCAACTGTTTAAAACGAATGTGCGCGGCGCCAAGGCGAGAACTACATTTTGAAAACGACCCGCCCTCAATCCGTGAAGATCTTGCAAATCATTTAGACGAATGTGCGCGGCGCTGAGGCGAGAGCCACATTTTGAAAACGACCCGCCCTCAATCCGTGGAACTCTTGCAATTCATTTAAACGAATGTGCGCGGCGCTGAGGCGAGAGCCACATTTTGAAAACGACCCGCCCTCAATCCATGGAGCTCTTGCAGATTTTTAAACGACTGTGCGCGGCATTGAGGCGAGAGCCACATTTTGAAAGCCACTCGCCCTCAATATGTGAAGCTCTCGTATGCTGTTGTTGCTTAAAAAAGAATAAGGAACAAAACAAAACAACAAAAAAAAACACAAAAAAAAAACGAATGCGCGCGGCGCTGAGGCGAGAACCACATATTGAAAACCACCCGCTCTCCATGTGTGAAACGGTTGCCAATGTTTAAACCCCAGGGTCATAAGTGGCGAGGAAGTCTCAGGCGAAACGCCCGGCCCGCCCTCAAAACTGGCCTCGGGGTGCGACAGGGAGAAATACTTACAAGGAGGAAGAATGGAGGATGAGGAGGAGGAGGAGGAGGAGGGAAAGGAAATGGAGCAGGAGGAAGAGGAGGGAGGAGGGCCTGCCGTGCCCGCCGACGAGCGCGGAGAGGGGGGGAGCAGGGCCAGGGCGGAGGAGGAGGAAGAGGAGGAAGTGGAGGGGGCGAGGGAGGATGCGGCATCGTGTGGGCGAGGAGGGAGGGCGGGAGGGAGGGAGGGAGGGGGATCGAGGAGGCAGGAAGGGAGGGAGGGAGGGAGGGAGGGAAGGAGGGAGATCGAGGAGAGCAGGAGGAGGAGGACGTGACTAAAGCTCAGGAGGCAGCGACGATGCTGCAGGACACCCTCCCGTCCCGAGCCCCCTCCTCATGAGTCGCTGAAAGCATTCCTTTTTCACTGCAGGGGGGGCAGGACCTTGAAAGACGAGAGTCCAAGGGCCTGCCGTTCAGGCGGGAGCCCCTGTCTGAAAACAAGTTGCCCTCAATCCTTCTAGCTGTCAGGAAGGCGGAACGGTAGGACCGTAAAGTTCAAGGATGTTTCAGCGGCAGCCCCTTTATGAAGAGGAGCCGCTCTCGATTCGCATAACTCAGGGGGGCGTAAGACCCGGGTACAGGGGACTCGGAAATCCCCGACGAGGTCGTCAAAAAAATGACGAGGCCGAGCCTGCATTTTGACGAGGCCTCCCGCTGCAGACATCCCACGAAACTCCTACTCGTCAAAATCCGAATCGCGGTCGTCAAAAAACGATGGCGAACCCGAGTCCTGGCAAACCCGGGTCTTACGCTCCCCTGAATAACTACTGCACACTTTACACGTGGGGCCAGACACTGTGAAGACAGCCCAAGCAGAAGCCCAACTTTAAAAAAGAGCCGCTATCCATGCGTACAGCGATTGCCCAAGCTCGCACGCCCGGCTACATGTGCTGAGGAAGTTCTTCGCGAGAGCGACACGTGGAGGCATCTAGAAACGCACGCGCGCGCGGCGCAGAGGCGAGAGCCACATGTTCAAAAACGAGCTGCCATCCCTCTTCACCAGTGCCGGAAGCCCACAGGGACCCGAGCGTGCAGGGCGAAAGCGAGAGCCACCTTTGCCTGAGCGCTGCGCCTTCATCCCGTCCCAAAGTCTCCCCTCAGGAGTCTCTACATCCCTCCTTCCTCACTGCAAGAGCCGCCCCATCGAGAGACGAGCACCCTCTGGGCCTGCAGCTCGAGCGGAGAGCACAAGAACGGCCCCGCATCCTGTCAGCGAGCTGCATATGGAGCGCGACCGGGCAGGGCCGTAGAGTTCGGAGAAAAATCCGGCGACAGCCTCACTATGAAGGAGACCCGCCCCCCATCGGTGCAACCGTGGGGCACGCGTCAAGTCCTGATCCTGAGGTGACACGTGCCTTCATGAAAGGGGCCCTGGGACACACAAATAAACAGACACAAATAACAGGATTCCCCACATTCTCCCACATGTTCGGGATTTTCGTCTCCCCCCCCGCTTCCTGTATGTTCCCATCTTTTCTGGGGAATCGACGACTAATCGAGTCTGTGTTTTTTTTCCTCTTGATGCCTCCCTGCACCCGCTGCGAGCGTTGAAGAGCGGACGTGCGCGCGGCGCGACGGCGAGAGCCACGATGCTTGAAGGTACCCCCGCCCTCCGCCCGCGCAGCTCGTGGAAACTTCTGGCCCCGTATGGGGTCGGGCCTGTCCATCTACGGGAGGAATCTTCCAAGACATCATCAACCGATAGCCTGGGGACGATGATAGTCTGAGTTCCGCGGCCGCTGATCACGAAGAACAGCAGCGGCACGACATAGTGGGTGCGGCAAGCCGCACCTACAAGGGTCGCACCCCCCTCCCCAAGTCGCCCACATCCGGGTTCTCGTCCTCCTGCTTCGCCACGTCCTTTGCCACGCCCTGGAGTCGAAGCTCCCCAGAAAACCGGACGATGTTTTGACCATGTTGGAGTTTTTCGTAACATGGTTTGGGTATCTGTGATTCTTCCTCCAAAATCCGCCTGTAGGGGGACAGGCCCGCCCTAAGCCTCGTAGTCATGATCGGTGGTGGCGCATGGGGCGGCGTAGCGCCTGGCCTGGCCCGCCCTACCAACACATCTGGTGGTGCGAGGATGCGGGTCCCTTTGTCAGGGAGCGAGCGGATGAAGAAAGAGGTAAGGAGGAGGGGGGAGGAGGAGGAGGAGGAGCAGAGTGGAAGTGGACGACGAGCAGCGACCAGGAGGAACGAGGAGGGAGGGGAGAGATGGGGGAGGTCACCTCCGGCAGCCGCCGGTCTCCTCCTCCTCTCCTGGCATGCCCAGCCCCTCGTCACCGGTGCCACCCGCTCGCTCTCCTGGCCACGACCCGGAGCTGCGCTCCACCCTCCCCCCCGCGCGTTGGCCAGGACGAGGGTGGACGAGCGCGTGCGCCGAGGCTGCGGCCTGGACCCGCCCGCGTTGGCGTTGGCGGGGGACGACACAGGCATGCGATGTCTGGTTTTTTCTCAGTACGGTGGGGGCATTGAATAAGGAACCCAAAGACAAGGAATCCAGGGTCTGGAGACCTGTGGAACTCGAATCGACGCTTGGCCATGGATATCACCGCGGCCCTCATCAGATAAGGAATCCTCCAGGGTCTGCAGCCTCCTGGGCGTATTCCTTTACCCACGCCGCCACCGTATGGGATCCCCCGAAGTCTTAGGTCGGGCATGTCTCCCTACAGGCGGCTTTTGGGCGAGAAACAAATACCCCCCAAATGCAAAAATAGTCAGAAATGCCAGAAAAATCGTCCCCTGACTATTTCTTAAGCTATTTTTGCTTGCATATTCCCCTGGTCGAGGGACAGGCTCGACTTAACCGAAGTCCCGGCCCATTACCCAGGGCTAGTTTTTCATCCCGAGTCGTTGTTCGACGGTCCCAGTGCCTGGCGAGGCCCCTTCGGACCTAAAAACTGCTACACAAACCGCCCCCGTCGTGACTCTGTTCACGAGGCGCGTAGTTCTGAGGAGGCCTAGACCTGACTCCGCCAGGGTCAGCGCAGGGAGGGGAATCGAGGGGAGGGGGATGGAGGGGAAGAAAACGGGGACCCTGACCGAGACTGAACGCGGAAACGCCGGTGCCGATCTTGGTCACCTTCCATCTTGGTCAGCGCTAATTCGTGCATTGCCCTCGCGAATCGGCGACGGCGGCCGATACGGACCATGGCCAAGATCGGCGTCGACAAGGTCCCGCGACACCTTGGTTATGACCAAGTTGAGCAGGGACCGACCGTCCTGGCATTCCTGTAGGCCTACCACGACATATTATTAGAACCCGAGCATGTTCTAAGAGCAAAAGCAATGCTCTTATAACAAAAAGGCAATGTGCTAAAACAAGACAGCCCCGGCCAGAAATGTTCTAAGAACATGTCGTACAGACCACAAGAGGTTCTTAGAAACTTCTGTGGTAGTCCTGTAGGCGAGCCAGGACGCTTCGCCACTGCTTGACCAAGGTGTGTCTCCCCCCGAGGGGCGGCGAGGCCGAGCGCCGGCCAGCACGCGGCAGCTCGGAGGATCGAACTTCCAGCGGAGGAAGAGAGAGAGAGAGAGAGAGAGAGAGCGGGCTGGCCGAGAGGATCGCCGGGAGGTGCGGCAGGACTGGCCCGGCGTGCGCAGCTCCTGGGGGGGCGGGCGGCCCCTCTCCGCGATGCGGCCCCTCCCGAGGAGGACCCCCCGCTCATCAGGACGGGAAATGTTTGTCAACCTTCGGCCTCTGTGAGTATCGGTTAACCGATCCCCATCCCCAGCGGCGCGGCCTGGGCCCCACTGGCCGACTTACCCCCCTAGATGGGTAGGTATATAGGCCGTTCCCTTCGGGTTTCGAGGGGTGTATCACCAACTGGGGTGGTAATTTGGTGGGGGTCTCGAAAGGGATGAGGATGGGGATAGGGGTCGGTTAAACGATACTGACTCTGTGTGCCCTCGCGGAGCCCTGGAACCGTCAAAACACGGCACGGACACGTCAAAACACGACGGGGAATGGGTCGAGACCTCTCCAGGTCGAAGTTTCGAACAAATCATGACGCTGGGGGTCTGGGTCTCCTCCTCCTCGTCCTCTCCTCCTCCTCTTCCTCCACTACCTCCTCCTCCTCCTCCTACTCCTGCTCCTCCTCCTCCTCCTCCACCACCTCCTCCTCCTCCTCCTCCTCCTCCTCCTCCTCTTCCTCCTCCTCCTCCTCCACCTCCGCCTCCGCCTCCAACTCCACCTCCACCTCCACCTCCTCCTCCTCCTCCTCCTCCTCCTCCTCCGCCTCATCCTCCCCACCCCTGTCCATGCACACCCACACACGCACAATTCCCTCCCGAAGCTTCCTGGGCGGCCCGACGGCCCTCCAAGGCACTCCGAGGCTTCCAAGACGACCAAAAAAAGGCATCCAAAGCCGCCGAGATGGTCCATCATTGCTCAAGGCGCACCCGAGAGCCCCTAAGAAGCATCCGATAGGTCCCAAGAGGCCTCCAACAGGCCCCAAGACACACCAAAGACGCTCTCCAGGAGGCCACTGCGAGGCCAAACGTACTGATGTTCCACGACGTCGTTCAATACGTGTTGCTTTGCACGCCCTTCGGTCGGAGATCGGTCCACTTGCCGCCTTTGAGCCCACGCAGAGCCCCAAGAGGGCCCCTTTGACGGCCCAGGATGGCTCCCAAAAAGCCACGAGTTGGCCCAAGAGGGTCTTTAGAGACCCCAAAAGACCCCAGAAAGCCAACAAAAAAACCGATGAGACCCCAGATGGCGCAAAAGGGGCCCCAAGAGACCCACAGACGGCCAAAAGAGCTCTGAAAAAACCCAAGAGACCCGACGATGGCCTGAAGGAAACCCAAAGGGCCCCAGAAGGTCTCTAGAGACCCCCAGAGACCTCGGACGCCCTTGAAGGGACCCCAAGAGACCCAGACGGCCCCAAGAGCCCCGCAAACTGCCAAATGAGCCCCAAAACGGCCCAGAAACGCCCCGAAGTGGCCCAAGAGGGCCCGGAGACAGCTCGCGAGGCCACAAGTGGCCTCCAAGTCTGCCCCACAGGAATCCAAGACAGCCCGAAGACGGCCCATACCATAATGTCGGTTCTTGCGAATCGACACTAATAGACGCTAAATCGACGCTAGCCGACGTGAACTAAACGAGGAACGACGCTCACCAACGCTAAATCGGATCGACGCTGATCGATGCGAAAGACGGAATTAAAAAGGATACACAAGGCTCCCAGGAGTTGTTACCGAACAAGTTGGCGCTAGAGTGAGGGCATCTATTGCTCTGAGGATGTCCCGAAACTGGAAAGCCGCAAACCGCCTTTCCCCTGTGGCGAGCGCGAGCCCGAGGTCGTCAACCAACAGGAGGACCCGGTGCCCAAAAGCCCCTCGACCACGAAGGAGGTGGCGAAGAGCACTTGACAAGGCGAGCCCCTCCAGACGAAGGATGTTCGCGGGGCCCCGCCACGGAAAGGATTCCACGACATGGCGAGCCTCCTCATGCATGAAGTTGGCACCCACCATGTCGAAGCCCCGCGTCTGCTCGTCGGCCCGCAGCAAGCTGTCCGGCAGGGCGCCCGGCGCGAGCGCGTCGCCGAAGCCGCCCGCGTATCCATGAAGAGCGCGAGCCCGCGCGGCCGCGGCACCCTGCTTGCGGCGCCAGCGCTCGGCCGCGCGGCCCCTGCGGGCCACCTCGTCAATCGGGGCGGCCCGCTCGCAGACTCCACATCCCCAGCGGGAGGCGCCGCTGGCCATCGCCCCCTCGCGCCAGCTGGAATCGGCGCGGGCGACAAGCAAGGGCAGCGAGCACCGCGCCTGCCGCAGCTCACCCCGCGCCGAGGTCCACGGCGCGCCAGTCTGCGAGCCTGGGATCTCGATGAAGGGAAACACCGAGCTAGAAATAAACAGGGGCGACCGCTGCAGCATCGCGATCCAGGCGGCGCGCCCAACCGCCATCGCCAGCGCGCGGCCGGCGCAGGCGCCCCGCCGATGGAGCTCCTCGATCGCCAGCCTCGAACGCCAAATGCGACGAGTGGACGCGTTGACAGCGCGTCGCCTCCCGTCGAAGCTAAGCCCCACGAAGTCGGTCTCGCGCACCGCGCCCTCGGTCTCCTCGCGGATGGCGAAAACCGGGCTCGACAGCGCTTCGCCGACTGAGCGGCCCGCGGCAGCCGCGCCCTCACTCGGCGACCCCATCGCCGCGAGGTTGCCAACGCAGGCGGCGGCCTGCGTCGGCCGCGAAAGCCCCAGAGGGCGCGAGGCCTCACGGTCCTTCGCCAAGGCCTCGGCGGGGCGACCGCCCCGCGCGGGCCCCGCCTCGGTCGCCGGCCGGCGCGGGCGAAGCGTCCAGCTCCAGCCCGTGACTAGGGGGCGCGGTCAGCACTGGCACGCAGAGCGCTGAGGCGTCGCGGCCTCGCATCCCAGCGAAACCGCCCCGCGGCGCCGGCAGGCGGAAGCAGGGCCCGAGCTCCTCGGGCACCTCGACGGCGTGGAAGGCATTCTGGATGTCGCCACTGCTGAACCACATCGCTTCGCGCACGCAGGCCCCCAACTCCCCGCCGTCGGCGGCCGAGGGCGGGCGCGTCGAGGGAGGGGCTTCAAAATCGCAGTTCGCCAACCGAGTGTCGACGATGATCCTCTGCATGCCCCCCTTCTTCAGCGCGAAGAAGAGCCCGACCGCGGCGGCGTCCACGGAGGGGCCCAGGCAACCACCGCTCGCCTGCTGTCGCTGGCCCACGATGTTGAATGCCGAGACCGAGCGCGCCATCCCTCGACTGAGGAGGCCTTTCGCGAAGTCGCCGCGCACTCGATGATCACGGAGCGCGGGGTCCAGATAGGGGCGGACAAGTCCGAGCTCAAACTGAAGGGCAGCCGCTGCAGCCGGAGGTCATCGGCATCTCGCCCGTTAGACCCCTCCACCAGGTAGGGCGCGCGGCCAAGATCGCGTCGCCCAGCGGGGCGGGCTTCGCCCCCGCGGCTGGCCAGGACACGGCGCCCATATTGTTGGGCGCGAAGGTAGTCGAGCACTCGCCGCGCACGTCGGCGCCCCCGCAGAGCTCGCGCAGGCTCCCGCGGCGGCGGAGATCAGCAGGGCAGGCGCCGACGGCGCGGTAGCTGCGCTCGACGCGCTCGCGGCGCAGCCTCTGCGCCGCGGAAGGCTTCCCGACGCCAAGCTGCTTCGCGCGTGCGCAGAGATGGAGTTCAGGGCAGAGACGCCATCGCTCGCCCACTCCCGAGCACGGAAGAGACGTTGAACACGACGAGCCACTGCGCGGCATCCGGCGCCAACGACGCCAGGAACAGGAAGAGGTTGAGGGGGGAAACCATCACGCTGCCGCACGCCCCCTCCCCTGCCGAAAACTTGACAGCCCACTCGCCCCTGGCCAGACGGCGACGGGCCGCCGAATCCGAGAGAGGTGGCAAGCGCCTCAGCCCTCGCCCTGCCCACCTTGGGCCTCGGCCTTCCCTTCGGACGGGCCAGCTGCCTCTCCCCCCGCGCCTCCCGACGCTCCGTGGCCACTGCGCTCTCCCGCGCGATCTCCTCGCTGATCCCGGTCGACGAAGCTGGGCGCACCATGGGCCCTCGAGTCGTGGCCATGCCCGTCAAACGATACTCCTCGTCGCAGCTCTCGATGCCATCTTCTTGATGCCCAGAACTCGATCACGGAGCCGCTCCTCGCAAAGCTGGAGCTGCCTGCCAACCAACTCGAGGCCAGCACAGTTCGTCACGTCCAGCTGGTCACAGCACAGCTCCGTCACGAAGATCTGGCTGAACTCGCGATGAGTCGAGATCGTGATACCGTCGAGGCCGAGCCGAATGATAGACTTCCACTGCACGTGGCGGCCCAAGGCGCTGCCGCCGTTCTCGAGCATGCACGCGGCCACCCTGTGGAAGGTCCGCGGGCTGGGCACCACCCAGTCCACGAAGGCCACCTCGCGCAGGATCTCGACGGCCGAGCCGAAGGATCGGTGTCTCCGCCCGTTGACACCGCACAGCACCGCCACGGTCCGCACGCCTGCAGTCGCCGAGGCAATGGCGGGGGCAGCTCTGGACCCCACTCCTGCGCCTCCGCCACATGCCAGCGCTGCCGCCAGCACTGCCGCACTACCAGCGGGGGGGCTGCGGCGGCAGCGCCGACGCCAGGAGCCGCCAGGGCCCCGGCTGGGGCTGCTGCCATCGCCACGGCCTGGAGCGCGGCGCCCGCTCCACCTCCCGCGGCGGCTGGGGCGGCCAGGCCGCCAGCAGGCGCTGCTGCCCCAGGGGCCCCCGCGGCGCCTCCGAAGAGCGCAGCGAGGCCGCCCGCCGCTCAGGCGCCCACAGCCAGCCCGCCTCCGCCGACGGCCCCGGCTGGCGCCAGGCCTGCGTTCGCGGGAACCGCCCCATCGGGCACCAGGCCAGCGCCTCCAGCCCCGCCAGCTGCAGGGGCGCCAGCTCCTGGCCCAGCCGCAGCGGCGCCAGCAGGCAAAGCCCCAGCCACCGCCAAGAGCGCCGCGCCGTGCGCTGCAAGCACCGGCGTGGCCTGGGCCACGAAGGCGGCAAGCTCGGCGGCCGTGAACGGCTGGGCGAAGTCGTACACGGCGATGCCCGCTCTCGCCGCTGGGGGTGTGATGGTCCCGTCCTCGCGGATGAGCGCGCGCCGTGGACCGACCCTGTT